TAACAATCCATATACACTACTTGTGAGCCTTGGTGAGGCTCGAACTCTTGATCTCTTAAAGTAAGTTATCATTGAGGTAAAAATTATTTACTTAATTTTTTTATTATTTACCTTCTATTTTTAATCTATGATAACTTTCTCATAGTAACTTTGATTTATATATTTTTTATGTCATTAAAAATATAAAAAAATTATCTATCTAATTTTTTATTTTTTACTTTTTACTTTTTTTTAATAAAAATCTAATAACTAGTTTTGTAGTATACAATTACTTGATCTTGTTTGTTTTGTATTGTTCTTTTTTTATTCTTGTTCTTGCTACTTTTATTCCACACCACAAATTACAAAGAACTCTTAATTGAAATCATCTTATAATTTGAGTGGATGAAAAAATCTACCCTCTCAGCAATATAAATCACAACACAAGGTAGAACAGAGCAAATCAAAACAAAACCAAATAGAGTTAAACAGAATGGAACATGAAAAGCAAAACAAAGCAAAAGAAAATATAATAGGACAGAACAAAAAAATACAAATCAAACTTTATTGAGAGAAAGGAAATAAAATCATATCTAATCAAATATCCAAATGGCCTCAACTAGTCTTATTTATACTTTATTCAACCATCTTAAAACTTTTTAGAATGTTCTTAAAGGTGGAATTTATCAAGAAAACCTCTCTTTTTAGAAGGTTCTAGAAAAGGGCTCTACTTAAATAAGTGATCTAAGCCCTTCTAGAATGTTCTATGGTAGATTCCACATGAACTACTAACCTAGCTCCAATTCTAAAAACTTTTCAAAAATAGCTCGAACTACGTAACTTAATGTATCAATAATCCAAATATCTTATCCATACCTTATTACACCTCTTTATTATTGTGTAGACACTCCTCTTGCTACCATGCATCCATGCATACACAATAAATTTTTTATTTACTCTAAATCATTTTAGGAAAATTTCACTATAAACCATTTACATGCAATGGCATGTAAAACCTTTTTTTTGCTGATTAAACTTAACAAAATTTGATAATATATTTCATATCATCCTTTTATGTACTTTAAAAAGCTTATTTAATTTAATAAAAATTCTTTAATTATAAATCCATCTTAAATATTATAAATATAAATAGGATTTTTATTATCTATATACAAAGGTATTTGGAAATGGAGGTTTATCTAATGGTTTTTTCAAAAAATGACTCACATATATATGTATTAAAAATCAATTGTATAAAAAAAAATATTTCAAAACCTTAAAAATATTATATATTTTTATCATTTCTTATAATATTTATTTCTTAAATAATTATTGATTATTATTTTAGTATGTTGTATTATCAAAATTATTCTCTATTTGCTTCAAATTATGTTAATATTTAGTACGCTTTATATTTACCTAATACAAGTTTATGTTATTTTTGGTTGAATATTTTTTAAATTTTATCTAATATTAATTATTTAATAGTTGATATATTAATATGTTTAATTTTGATAATTAAAATAATCAATAGAATTAATTTTTAAAATTTTAATTAGGATATAAATTAATATATAAGATTATGTACTATAACCTTTGTTTATCTTTAAAATATTATTTTTGATTTGGGTATATGTGAAGAACTACTAGATAGATAATAAATTTTAAGAACTTCACCTAATATAAACTAAATATTTAGATTTTTATAGATGTACTTCATAGCTATTAAAACTCATCCTATAAGTTTTGATACTTTTAGAAAGTTGTATTGGAAGCAACCTGAAACATGATACTTGGACCAAAAGCTTTGTAGTTCATGTGAGGTTTTCATAAGACCTACTTGGAAGCTAATAAATATTTCAGATTTAAATTGATATTACATATTCAATTTTTATACTAAAATAAAACATTGCTATTTCAATACATATTACAGAATAAAATTCCATGATGTGTAACTTATATTAGAAAAAATTTAAAATAGCATTTCAAATGGATAAAAAACAACAAGTTTTGGTTTGATTTATTATTATTTTTTATATTTTTTTGTTTTATATTATATTTCTTATTCATGAGATAGTATTAGGACATTAAAAAAATTACTATAAGATTTGATAATTTTTCTAATTTACCTATAGAGTAGATTTTTTAATGTTGTTTTTTATTCTTTATGCACTTTGATTATAATCAATATAATTTTTATAATTAAACCCATTTTATTTTATATTTTTTTCTTAAATTCCAATTGATTTTTTAATTTTTAGATAGCTACAGAAAAAATTTATGTATATATATATATATATATATCAATATAAGGAATAGAATTACGCTAGATGTATGCTTGACAAAAATGAGTTGTGCAGAGTTTTGAAAAAAAAATAAAAAATAAAAACTGAGATTTTAATTGAAGAATAAAGTATAAATATTAATTTATTGAAAATTACAAGTTTATAAAATCTAATGACAAAGAGTGCATGAAGTTAAATAAAGGCTTCATATGTATCATTCACAAAAGCTTTCATTTGCTTGTACATGTTTACACTGAAATGTCCTTGTCACTGCATTATTATTGTGGCCGTGAGCTGGGAATGTGGAGGAGCCTTGGTGTTTCTAAATAAGTCATTGGTACTTCGCAGAGAAATGTATATATATATATATATATATATCTGCAACCAAGTCAATGGATTGTATTGATTCATTGTCCCTACTGATGTGGGTACATAGATGTGTGTGAGTGTGAGTGGGGTAGTGTACATACATATGTTAAAAGATTATATATTGTCTCTCATGATACAAGTTAGACTGCAAAATATTTGATTGGAGTTTTACCCGAAGTGTTTTCCCTTCTGATGCTTACCATCAAATACTCAACAAAAATAAATGAAAGTCTAGTTTCAAGTTGATCGTTTTTTCATGCAAATGTTATTTGTAAAATTTCTTATTTTGAGGAATGGATTTTTAAGAAATATTTGCAATATTTCTTAAAATAAAATCATATAAAATAGAGTTGAGATATCAATAATTTCATCACATGTAAAACAATCAGAAGGAGTTGTCTTAAATTTGCGGCAATAAAAACTAATTGTAAATTCTGCCAACGCTTACTCAATTCACTTCTACTCTCCTTAGTTTAAAATACAACTTTTAAAATATTTACAATGTAGCCCAAGAAATTAGTAGATAATAGATGGGTTTATATATTTATACATGTACTTGGTACTTTCAATAACTATATATATATATATATAGGTTCATATATTAAGTCGTGCAAAGGAAAGTAAAATTGAAACACTCTATTGTTGAGTTTATTTTGTGTGGAGAGTTCTACTTTTGTTAAGGAAAGATCTCTAGGCAAATTTTAGGGGAATTCTAAACACCTTCTGCACAACTTAGTTGCATATGGGTGATTTGTTTTTGTCCTTGATTTATCTCCTTGTAGTTTGTTCACATTCTTAATTAGTGTATAGATTTTTAATACATACTTACATTTGAAATGCCATTGGTATTCTAGGTTTTTTCAAGTGAATTTTTTTCTTTCTTTCTTTTTTTTTCTTTTGGAACTTCATAAAAATTTATATAGATACAAACTCCAAATGAAGTACTTGCAATCTTAAAATTTGACTTAATATAAACTTTACTTCAAGAATACAACTTTGTGGTCAATAGAGAGGTCTAATTATCTTCTTCTTCTTCTTCTTCTTCTACCTTTTTTTATTATTTATGTATATATATATATATATATATATATATTATTAAACTAACTTCTTGTGTGTATAATTAAAACAATATGGTTAACAGAAGCTTATGGAACTTAATGATTAAAAAATTCTGATAAAATTATACAGCATTTTTATTGGTGAAATTTTGGTTCTACCTTAAGCATGCACCCAAAATGAAACTTTAAAATATTTTGTCATGAAAGAATCCATATTTGACTAGAATGAATTTTTTATTGTGTTCCCTTTGTATCTTTGTAAGTTGATATTTGTCACGTAAAATTAAGTCTTTAATTATTTCTCAAAGAATATATATATATATATATATATATATATATATATAATGCATATTATGTTTTAATTAATTAGAGATAAGAACTAAAATAATGTTTAAAAAATTCTGAACCAAAAATTAATTTTGAAGTTTAAGAACATCTGTTGCAAGTTTAAAATATATATATATATATATATATATATATGATATTAATATTAATAAACATAAGAATTGTCTTCATTTGAACCAAAAATCACATCATATAATTCTACAAATTTTACACACTTGCAATACAAATACATGAGCTTTAAAGTTATACATTTAAAATCAATGTTTTATGATGTACTCATTTAAAACAATTCAAGTTTTAAAAATATATCAATGTCATAATAATATATATATATATATATATATATATATATACAACTTAAAGACACGACATATAAAACTAACATCTCTATATATTAAGAAAGGCATTGTGCTTCAAAATACAATTGGTTTATTTTTGTTTTCATTAGCTCAAAAAAAGAACTTAAGAAATCTTTTCATGAAGATAGAAAATCTGTATGAAGCAGCATTCTAGTAACAGAACATTTGTACAAATTCTTCAAAATTTTTGTCATTATTCTTACTTTGTAATTGTGAAGTTTTGTGTTTGAATTTTTATTCAGTACAAAGTGAAATTAAAATTTTATATTTATATGTATAATATTATTAATCCAATACATCAATTATATAATCATACTGTATAAACTCCAATTTAGTACTTATTAGCTATATTATTTTTGAACCATGATGCAAATGCTTAAGTGGATATTCAAATTATGTTTCAAATCTCATGCACTAATTATTTATTAAATTTATCACAAGCTGAAACATCAAACTAGCAAACACATCTATTAAAAAATATAATTGAACTAAAAACTGGGCACGTTGTTTTTCTTTTTTCTTTTTTCTTTTTCCACAATATTTTCATGTACTGTTTCATGGTTTCAAAATTTTCAACGTTTATTTAGTTCAGCTCTATTCAGGTTTTAGGGTTTAGGGGATGTGCATGCGAGGTCGTCTGCTGAAGGGAGCCAGACCGGCTGTGATCCGATTTCCTTGCCGCGGAGCTCAATTGGAGATCATGCGGTAAACGATACTTGTTTGTTTCGGTGGGAATCGTGGGTGAGTGTTCATGGCCTAAATGCTCATGAATTTATTTCATTCACGCATGGTCCACTGCAATTCAAAGCCCTGGAGTGAGTGTTCGTCGAATTAGGTTTTACAGTTGAAAGACCCGGTGGTGTTGTCATCAACTGATTGTGATTTTTGAGTGTCTCACATTTAGTATAGTGAGTGAGTTCGCAGCAAGTTCGATCCTCTTCACGGGTTCCGGGTACAGGGTTTGCGAGTTACTCAGGGCTGTGAGGTTGAGTGGAGTTGTAAGACATGAAGAAGAGAGGCGGTGGCGTGGGAGACGCTGGAGGGGGCTCAGGTCGTGCCCCAGAATTCAAGAAGAAGCAGAGGCTCGGAGGAAAGGGTTTGAGTTTAGAAGCGTTTGTGGATGCCAAAAAATTGAAGCCCGTTGTTACTGCCTCTCAAATTCGTAAGCTCGTTTCCTAAGTGATTGGACATTGCATGGTTTCGTCGAGTGCTTCATTGTGGGTGGTGTCTTGCCTTGTATTGCTATAATCTGTGTAATTCTATCCTTGGTTACTGCTGATTTGATGTATTTAATACCGCGGCCATCCCTGAATATTTATCACGTATCATTTCAGATGATTTCCTATTTTTAACTTCTGAGTTTTTGTGTTCCTGTATCTTTTTGTAAGCCGTTGGGGTTAGTGAAGAGGGTTTATTGTACAGTTGTTGTGTATGGTAACGTGAGATTGACATGCTCATTTTTCATTGAAGGAATTTGTGTGAACTTCACTGGCCTAATTGATACAATTCGTATAATTACTATGTTCGCAGGAAAACAGAGAGAGGCGTATCAGAACTCTAAGAAAGTAAACAAGTATCGGAAGACTTTAAAGCACTTGGCAGAAGAGGGACATGAGTTTAAACCTCGCGTCCCCCTCGACATGGACGCAGAGGTGATTGGCTTACTGTTGCAAATATAATGAATTAAGATCTAGAACTCTACTCTCAATCAGAGTAAGACCATTAACTACCGCAAAGTAGTAATGCCATTTCAATGATGCTTTTTGGAGCTGATTCTTGAGTTACATATCTCATTCTGTATGCCCACAGACTTCCGGCCAAGATGTATCAGAGCCAATAACCAAGGAACACAAAGAGAAACGCAGTTCATCAGCTAGTGAACGAGAGCATCCTTCAATTGAAACAGATGAAGAGATCAAGGAAAAAGACCAGGTCGGCGGCCATGGAAAGAAGTCTGGGAAAGGGCGCCGACCGAAGCCTCCGTCCCAGCTCGAAAGGTTGAGGTCAGAGTACGAGAAAAAGAAGCAAGAGGAAGAGGAAGTGAGGAAGGAAAAGCAAGCACTGTTTGAAGAACAACAAGCAGCACGAGAGAAGGCGAAAAAGGAACGTAAAGAGGCGCAGAACAAATTTAGGAAGTTCACTGGCAAAGGACAGCCCGTCATGAGGCATCGTATGGAGCACTTGCTTGAGAGTATTCAGCGAGACATGAAGAGGTAGTGCTTTGTTAGTAGTAGGAAAGGATTACTACTGCCGATTTGTATCGTAGTCCAGTTTGCACACCATCTGGCATTGGTTGTCGACTCTTCAATCCAGCTTGTTTAGAGTTACTTTATATTTCAATTTTACCGGACTGACTTAGTACTTCAGTAGACTGAAGCATGTACAGCTAGAATTCTGAAGGCTTTGTTTTGTTGAGGTTATTTTTGAGGAGCTATCTTTCTCTGGAAGACTGAATGTCTTAATGTGGAAGGTTTTTGTGAATTGAATTTCAGTATCTGGTTTATCCCTTTGAAGTGGTGGGGGTTTCACACGCCATCCTCCTTCTACAAAAAGAAATTAATTGTAGAGTATGAAGTAAACTAGTTTTTCGTTTCAGATGGGAGCCTACTACTAGTTGATAGTTGTTTTTTGTGGCATGATTGATTACTACTTATGTATCGATCAGTTTAGCTAGACTTATGATTGCTCTTCCATACGCCTCAAGATCTGAAAGATTATTATTATCTTCCCAAGGTATTTTTTGATTGATTCTTAGAGGTTAGCCTGTGTTGGGCTGTCGAATACGAGGCAGAAATGGCTTTCGTCCTTCCAATTCTCCATCAACACCCAATGACTGTCAAAGTGTTTATCTAAAATAATGTTTTGAAATGATATTACTATGACTTTTCAAAGTGGCAAAGTCAAACTTAATGACCTTAGCTTGTTGAAGTGTTCAGCGGCCATTGATCATAACAGATTGTGGACATTGATCATAACAGATCAGGGTCACTTCAAAACAGTGAGAAAAAAAAGGGAAATAAAAGGGGGAAAAAATAAAACTATATTATAATGCTTAAACTCCACAAATTAAAAAAAGACTAAATGATTATAAAAAAATCATTGTATTGAAGAATACCTGATTTAATATATGTAGTCTTTATTCCAAATAAACAACTCTTTAGCTTCTGCGATTATTTTTTCTAACTGTTTCAAATTTATGCCTATGTATTATGTATTAGCACATGAACAGAAAATACTTATGATGATTAGTTTGGAAACAAAAAAGAAAAAGAAGATACTGTTCTTGATGGAGGAAAACAGTACACATACGTATATAAGTAGGTAAACCCATTACGGTTGTGTAATTAGAAAAGATGAAAATTTGAAACATGGGTTCTTTTTCTATAATTTTTTTTCAATAAAATATCAAGTAATAATATATCTTTGAAGAGAGAGAGAGAGAGAGAGAGGAAATAATAATAATAATAATAATAATATATTCGAATACAATTTATAAGACATTGTCTTTGCATTCATCTCAAACATATAAGACAGTTTCTTTGGTATGAGAAGGGTTTTCTTTTGTTTTCTTTTCTTCCCACTTTAATTATATTTTGAGCATTCACACAACGGTTTCCATAATCTGTTTGTATTTCTAGTAGATGCCTATGTAAATAGATTTACTTAAAATCAAATCAAGAGAAGTAGGAGTATGAATTACTTGAGGGGATATCAGAGAATACCCCTGGCTCTTCTTTTCACAAAAAAAAAAACAAAAAAACAAAAACAAAAACAAAAACAAAAAAACAAAAAAAAAATACAAAAAAAATACAAAAAAATAAAAATGAACCTGGTACATTATTATGTTATTTTGTAAGGATTTTTTTTTATTCCTTTTACTTTGTTTATTTCCTTGTAGTAGACAACATAGGAAAAGAATAGAAAAGAAACTCACTCTAACATTTGTATAAGTAAAAAAACCTATTTGTATCAAAATAAAATTTGATTTACACAAATGCTCTAAGATTATGCACCATGCAAAATATAAAACATCGTAAAAGTTATTGAATTTCAACTACTTTCTATTCAAGTGTATCCCAAAACTAAAAATAGGGTCATTGTTACTCATTCCTCAGAAAAGCATACATTTTAATAAAGCCCAAAAGCAAGAAGTTTATATTCCAAAAACAAAAGAGTAAAGTGTGTAGCAGTTTTTGAAATATATCAACATTCATGTAGAATACAACTGCTCATCCATTTGTGAACCATCCTGTATTGATATGCCCATCAAACTTTACCTCTGTCTTGATGGAAATGTGGCTGATTCCATCATGTGTCAGTGTAGAGAATTGAAGTTTCCCTTCTATGAAATTTATGATTAATTATACAATAGTTTAACATTATTTGTTTAAAAGATCTGAAACATTAGATTTCTAATTACTAGGAGCTTAAGTAATTTTTAATTTCATTTTTTAATTACGTGTAAAATTGAAAATAATACTAAAGCCTCATTTAATCATGTCAAACTATTTTTTATATTTTGATTAAGTTGTGGCTTATACGTTTTCTTGTGTTTTGGCACAATCATAGTGATTTAATGTATTTTATAAATTATAATATTTTACTATTATCAGAAAAATTTAAGTAATTTTTTAATTTTTATGTTAACATATTGAACTTGAATATTGATGATTCAAAAATATTATTAAAATCATCAAAGTTAATTTATTTTAATTATATATAAATACATAGAAATACATTTTCATAATTTTTTTGATTTCATTCTTAAAACTTTACATTCTGAAAATCGTTTAAACAATAATACTAGAAATTCATTAACTGTAACATAAACATCAAAGTAAGTTTTAATTTAGAAGCACAAATGCTTGAGGATGTTGATCTGTAAATTATTCTAAATTAAAACTATGCTATAATACATTGTGTACATACATGTTTTTATAAAACATCTATATATATATATATATATACACACACACACATATAAATAATCAAATTTGTGCAAATTTTGAAATATTTTTATTTTATGATAAATTTTATTAATAATTATTATTTTATAACAGTAGTAATCTAATCTTTTATTTGTTTTAGAAAAAAATTCATAGTTGGTCTTTATAATTCTAACTAGATTTTCTTTGATTATAACATACATTGTGCAATGGATCTGTAATAGACAACAACAATTTATATGATAAGATTATATCTATTTGTTTTAAAAATGATTAGGAAATTGACTTAAAAAAAAAGCTACTGCATCCAAATGCAATAGAAGAACGTTGTGCAGGAATTAACTTCCAACTCAAGTAAAAGTACAAAAGATAACAATATAGTTTTATCTTAGCTTTAATATATGTTGCAATAAAGTTAATTCTACTAACTTATGTTTTTAGTTTATATCAAGTTTAAGAGGAATTTATGTATATTCTAAGAATTCGTAATCTAACCATCGAAATACCATGATAGAGTATTTTTTTCTTTTGACAATCTATTCAAATAAATTTTGTACATAGATGATTGGGTTGTTATAAGATAATAATGTGATTTAATGTAATTTCTGACATAAGTTTGCAATAGTAATAGATACAATGGAAGGACCATATTATAATATTTTGACTTGGTGTTTCTTTGAATTTATGGTATAATAAAAAAAAACCCCTCTAAATAAGCATCTTTAGATAGTATAATAATAATAATAGTCAATTGATAATATTTTAAATTAATATTATATCAATAATATCATAAAATTATATTATAGTTAATTGATAATATTAAATTAAAAATTCTAAAAAATAAATTGTAGCAAAATCTTCCATTATACAAAGTTGCTAAATATAAAACAAGTTTTAATATTAAAAAAATACTCATTTTTTAATATTAATAATTATTTCTTCAATAAAAAAAATAAAATTTCTAATTTACTTTTAAATATATCTAAATATAAGAATATAATATTCTAAAAAGATGAACAATGATTATATTAATTTTTCTTAATTTTTTTATTAAAGAACATGTAATTTGAGTCATTCCATCAATCTATTGTTTTAACTATAAGAAATAAGATCAACTTAATATATATCAAATTTATTAAAGAAAGAGAAGTTATAAGTCTCGATACTAAGCATTGATAAGGTTTTACAAAAATAAAAGTATATAATAAGATTACTCTCACTTCCAACTTTTTTTACTTATAGGTGGTTGTTGATGCCCTAATGAATAACTTCTATTCCTTTACTTTTACATTCATCAAAGAATATATCTAATATGTTCTTAGATAGCTTATATATCATAAGAATGTATCTTAGTATGTACTTCATACTCCTACATATCTTTTGAATAATCTCTTATAAATTCATTATCTTTTAGACTTTGACTCTTGGCACTTAACCTTGTGGTTGATCTATAAGACAGCCTTTCACATCTTAAGAGTCAATTCTTTGATTGCTAGTAATTTATTTGACGAAATGTCATATATATGGTAATTTATCTCATTTTTATTTTTATTAAATTTAATATTTCATCTTTACTATTGATAAAAGGCTTTCAAAATTAATGTCTTTGATAACATGTGATGTCTATTTTTTACTACTATTTTTGTTTGCTAATCAATAAGTGTATCTTTTGTTATACAATACTTTATATTATTCACTTCTATTTCAATCTTCTCTTTTATGAAGTGATATTGAATGTTAATGAATTTGGTTCTCAAATGATGTTTTGGATTTTATGCAAAAGCAAGAAATCCTTGATTGTTACTTTCTATTGGAATTACTTCTAATTGCACAAGTCTAATGTCCTCAAAAATTTATCTTAGCCAAATTGCATTCATTATATTAAACTTGCTACTATGTACTTTTCTTCTATTATAGACCTTATAATTATTGTGTGTCTCTTGTAATTCCATGAAATTACTCCCTTGCAATAAAGAACATATATCTTATTATCGATATTTTATTATTTACATCACCAATCCAATTTTAATGACAATAACCATGCAAAGTAATATTATCACCTCTAAGACATAATTTGAGTGCAAAGTACCTTTTAAATATATTATGATCTTTTTAATGGCTATCTAATGAATTGATCTAATCTTTGACATGTATTGATTTACAACTTTCTTTGCATATATAAGATTTATTATCATACCAACAATTGCATACATAAGTGACTCTACTCTTACCTTACATATAACACTATACATTTAATCTTTAATTTTAGAAAATTCTTCATCTATAAATTTTATTAACTTCAAATTTGCTTCCAAATATATTTCAATGGATTAAAAATCCTCTACATTGAATTATTTCAATACTTCTTCAATATGCTTGCTTTGGCTCATTGTAATGGTTTTTTTTACTACAATCTTTTACAAAATCCACTCTTAAGCAAAAGTAGAGCTCTTCCAAATCATTCATTTCAAATTCTTTTTTGAATTTTGCCTTCAACTAATCTATCATTATTAAGATATTAGTCAAAATGATCAAATCATCATTATAAAGAATATCAATCAATAAGAATTCTTTTTATTACATCATATT